CCCCAGGCCCTGGTTCCGGCGGGGTGGCCTCGAGGGTTACTAAAGTCTAGAAACGCTCCAGCCCAAGCCAGCTTCTTCCGCCAAACCAGTAGGAGGAACCCTGGGAGTACCCAGTGCCATGGCCCGTCGGGCTGGGACCGGCCCCTCCCGGGAAAGCAGCGGCCCCCCAGCGCGTGCAGCAGGCGCAAAAGGAAGCAAAAGGCGCCGGTGGGCCCACTTGGTGACTTTTCCAGCCCCCGCGTAGGCACGAGGGCGAGGACGTCGTTGACGAGCAGCGTCCCCATGCGGCGGTGAGCGGCGCGAACACGCCCCACGGCTTTCCTCTCGAGCCACCACGGGGCCACGCGCGCCGGCCGCAGCGCGTCCCCGCCGGGCGCCAGCACCGAGTCCCCTGCGCGCAGCCGGCGCGCGAACACCGGGGCAAAGTCGCCTGGCGCGGGCGCCGGCCCTCGGGCGGCGAACACCAGGTGCCAGGGTGTGAGCAACAGCTTGCGGGGGGGCCTCTCGGTCTCCACAGCCACAAAAGAGGCGCGGCGCTGCAAGTCCCGGTCCAGGAAGAGCAGCACCGGCGTGGGCACCACCCGCCCCGCGGAGTCTGCCGCCAGCACCCAGTCTCCGCGATGCAGTTCCCGCAGCCCCTTCCGCTCGCCACTCCGCAGGCGCACGGTGGCATTTCCCGGAAAGCAGCCTCCCGCCCTGACCGCCAGGGAGTTATCTGCAGGGAACAAGCATAGAGAGGATTAGATGAAGTCCAGTGGTTCCAGAATGTTAGCCCAGATTCTTAAAGATGTGGTCAAGCCCAGCGCAGACCTCAGCAGTTCCGGGACAACTGCAATTTCCCAGGGATCTGGCCTCAACCTGGGCAGAAATGGAAGGGTGGTTTATAACACTCACAGCCACCTTGGTCTCCCCTAGACTCGCAACGGGGCTGTGCAGCCTCAGTTTCCCTTTGGGCGGGCCTCACCCCCCCTCCCCCACACACACACACTGTACCGGCTTTGACCGACACGTGGACGTGGTTGCGGGACTCGTAGTACACCCAGTCGAAGCCGGCTTCCACTGCCAGGCGCGCCAGCAATCCATACTTGTTGCGGTCGCGGTCAGACGTGGTGATGTCCAAGGCACGGCCTTCGTAGTGGAGTGAGTCCTGAGCGTGGTGGCCGTCCTCATCCCAGCCCTCAGTCACCCGTAGGCGCACTCCCGGCCACATGTTCATCACAGCAATGGCCAGCGCGTTCACTCGCTCCTTACATCGCTGTCAGGAATGAAGGAGTCAGTCTCCTCATGACCACTACCACCACCTTGGGGGCAAAAGCGACTTGAATGGGAGGGTAGATGCTTCTGCCTCCAATCCCCACCCCATTCCCTCTCCGCTGTTGAGTGCCCTGGGCAAGTGAGAACCTGCATAGGTGTAGTCGCCTATCTGCACGCCCTTTTCAAAGCATCGTTGGACAACTGTGGGGTCACGTCTGAGTCTGAGACAGGAGGCGCCTCTATCTAGCTTTCCCTGTTTTTAATGTTGGCTCCTCACCCCAACTCATTCTGGGACTTCAGCTCAACCTGGGAGAAAGCAAGGTTTAGAGGGCGGGTGGCAGCTTGGCCAGGGAGGGGTTGAACAGCCTGACTCCCCGAGAGGAGCTCCTGTTTGCTGGCCCCCACCGCAAGCCCCGGCTGCCCTCCCTCCGCCTGATTCATCTTTTGTTTCGTTGCCTTCCCTGGCACCGGGCATCGCTTCCTTCCTTCCTTCCTCCTCCTCCTTTCGGCCCCTAGCATTAACCCCTTCCTAGTGCGACTGCCCCCCACAGAGGTGCCCTAGCGGAGCCGTGCGGGATCAAGGCTGCTGGAAAAAGGGTTGGGGTGGCGGGGGCTGCACGAAGTACAATGGCCATTCTCCGGGATGACTTAACCAAGCGAGAATCCCGGGCTGAGGCCCGGGACCCGCCGGGAGAAGCGGACTCAGCAGCTCCATCCACAAAGGCGCTTTTCAGCCACCCCGGCTCAGGGAGAGGAAAGGGCAGAAAGCCGCGCCCCCTATCCCTGCTCCGGCCGGCCAGTCCCCTCCCCCAGCGCGGCCAGACCTCCGGGTTCCAGCTCAGCTCTGCCAGCGCTGAAAGCTGCCATCTCTCCATCTCTGGTCCAGATGCAGCCCAGAGAGGCGTGGGAGTAGCACCTGAGGATAGCCGGAGCTGCCCTGGTGTGGATC